AACAGCCGGAAAGAATGCTCGCCTTGGACATTTCGCGTCTGGACAAATACCGCCTCCAATTTACATTTTAATGGATCTAAATTGAAATCTAGTAGACGCACCCGAGATAAATTGTGCCAACCACCGAGGTAGGGAGGGTTATTCGCTGGGTTGTTTGCTTTTTTATCATTAACCACCGCCGTTATCTAGATATGCTGTTCCTGTCGCACTCGGGGTAGCGTAGATTCCTAATTATCTTGAAGCTGGGACAATAGAGAGCTGGGTGTTACCGTTTACTTCGCCTAAATCAGATCGAAGTGCAGAAGTGACACGAACTCGAAGCAGAAAGTTTTCGGTGACACGAGAACCCATGCGGGGAATTAATGGAACGTTAACAGTTCGTGTTGACATTTAATTAACGTGCAGTTGAACAAAGTTTGAAATGACTTTGTCGTAATAACAGGAATAGGCATTTCATTGCTCAATGAAGGAATGTGCTTTTTAATTTAACTGCCTTTTTTATATTATCATCATACATATGTGATTTATGTTGTCATAATAGTTGCTCTCTTTTTGTTCGTTCTTACTAAAGTGCGGATTCTATGCATTTATAGCCTACAGGGATATGTAAAATTCAATGAAACACAAAATTTGTATTGGATGTAACGAATTTTCTATGTTACACACACGACAAAAATTCGTACACTTACTTTTATTTTCATGAATTATTTTAGGAAGAGTCATTTTATTTCTTCTCGCTTTCCTTTCCTTTTACCGAATCGTAAAATTATTTTAAGTATTCCAAGCATTATTCTGTGAACGCTCTAATGTTCGATAATTCCTTAAACAATCTCGATTATACTGTGTCAGGACTGATCGTGGAATTAATGGTCAATTGTACAGAACCTGTCAGTCCAAAAAGTAGGAAAGGAGTATAGTCTCAACCAGAAATCTAATTAACGGCGATCATTTTTACAATATTGTCAGTCGAATTATTCGATCGTATCAACGTGGATATTCTGGTTATATGAAATTAGCTTCGAAGCTCCGTCGATCTGTTCGTCCGTGAAATCGACCTGGTACTTACAATTAGTGCTTCTTAAAATTGCCAACGCCGAGAGGGATTAAACGGCCAGGATATTTGCGCGGCGTTAATTGCAATTAAATCCGTGAAATCGGCGACATTCCCTAGTAAACAGAACTTTCCAATTATTATTTTTCTGTTCCTGCGAGCGTCTCGACTTACATCACGATTTCCATGTCGGCGTGGCGATGCTACGGAGGAGTCGGTTAATCGTGGACAACGATAAATTGCTAATTACCCTGACGCAGCTTTTGTTTCGAACTCTCGGGAAAGTATAGAAATTTTCTCCTCGACACGGGTTAATTGTTCCCACTGAAACTGGGGAAAGTAAAGTAAGACGACTCTATCTTCTTTTCGCGATCCCGACAGAAGTATTATTAGAGATCGCATTGCTCCTTTGGTTCTTAAACGAAAATGATATTCGCTGCGTTTATCTTTTCCTTTGAAAACAGCTACTGCCTAAGTGTACAATCAAATTTAGGTATGATTTTAGCAAGAAGGAATTTAAATGTTATCATGTTCGTAGTTTACCAGTTTCAAACGTTTGAAATCTTGAAATCATTAAACTTTCAACCATTCAAATATTGAAATATTGAAATCTTGAAATCTTGAAGTTTTTAAACCATCAAATCTTCGAATCTTCAAACTTTTAATCCTCCCAACACTCAAACTTTCACACAAACCTTCAAGTACCTAATTTTCCAAATTCAATTTTCATAAAAACGAGACCATATGCACTTTTCCTTGACTTCTTCAAACTTTCTTTTCCTGTAATATTCAAGGAAGAAAAATTCCTTAAATTTCCAGAACGTCTTGGAAACGAAACACTACCGTTCATTTAGCATTGTCTAACGGGGAACGAGATTATTTATTGGACGACTTGATAAACGCGGGGAGGAATACATCCGGAGGCGAACGAATTTTCCAATTACGTCGAGCGATTCAAGAGTAAAACCGAGCGACGTTGACTACGAACAGATACTCGGAAATAATTACCGGCGAGCGTAGAGAGCCGATCCTCTTTTATCCCTCGTTTCTGATCGCTCTCTGAATAATTTTCTAGATGTATTCACCGAATAATTGCGAGGCGCGCCGACGACGATGTATCTACAAATTGCCCCTGTATTACGAGTAATTTATAATTATATGTCTCGGGAACAATCTACCTTGCTGCTTTTTCGCCGTGGCAACCTATTATCTCGAGCTCGAGCAAAGACTGCTAGGATCTTGGGCGAAACGAAATAGTTGCCTGTCCCCATCGTTCATCTTGCTTCCGTTTTGCTGCTCGCGGGAAATCACCGTAACACGAAAGTTAAAATTCGATCGTCGCGTATTTAATCGAGTTTCCTTTAATGTCGACCATGGACTGGACAATTAAGGGTGAGACGAGACATAATTAGATAAGCAGGACGACTCGTGGCACTAACGGTGCCGTTTAGTCACGGTAATATTCACGGTAATAGTCACCGCTATGATGGTTAATGATAAGATGCTACCGTGATTTCAACCTTGCTACGAGAGAACTAGACGATATTGATTGCATCCTTATGTTCGTGAACAACTATGTTAAAACGCACTCATGACTTTGGTACCGTTCATATTTACTACAGCATTTCAATAATATATCCTCAGACTACATAAAATTATACCTTTTCATACTGTCATTTAACCCTTTCCACTTGACTGCCTCTGAAGGGACGAAATAAATTGAGAATTGGAAAATTTCGCGTTCAAAGGGTTAAATATTCATTGAAGGAAAAAGTCTATAAGAACAATCACGAGACTTCTCCATTGTACCAAGAAATTGATTAAAACAGAATAGATCACGGCATCGGTATGAAAACCAAAAGAAAGATGGTAAAACTTTTACCAGCATACTGTCGTGTATCGTTTCGTAGTCACAAAACTATGGGACACGTTCGCGCAACACGATACGTCGATCCATCTTTCAGGAACTTTATTCACGTGTACCTGGCGCACTTTCGGGCTGCGAGGAGAAAAGTTGAAAAAGAAAGGATATCGAGGGACGATCGGCGATATTGCAAGGATCGCGCCCCCAAGCCATTCTGGAACAACACGTACGACGATTTCTCCCGCCCGTTTCGTCCCCCTCGTCGATCCTCCTCCCACGAATTCGGATCACAGAAATCCGTGCAGACTGCTCGGAACCTCGAGGATATTCTCTTTGCGCGAACAACGACAAAGGGGACCGGTCCCTTACGTACATTAATGCAGGAACGTGATCGAGGAAATCGATGGAGGAACGGAGGAACTTTGTTACAGGTAAACACGCACACACAGGTGCAACGACGGGGACACCTTGAATTTGCATCGTTGTGAAAACGGGTTTCATGTTACACGGTCTTCTGCTTTAATGGATTGTCTCAAACTGACGACTGATTTCGTGTAGAAGTAAAGTGGACTGAAATCTCCACGGATTAAAGGATTCTGCGTTCAATTTAGAAACAAGAAACTTTTAATGTGTTATTGCTCATTGTGTTTTTGCCGATGCTCGTTTGCAATTCCCATTATATCTGATAGCCAAATAAATCCCCACAACGAAATTTACAGAAATCTGTGTCAAACAAACGATTCTTTTCTTCGTTAATTTTTGTAACGACCACGGAAGAACATGAAACATCTAAGAAATTCCATGAAAATAATTACCTCACTGTGTTTTATACCCGGGAAAGAATCCGCGCCCCATTTACAACCGGTTTACATTTATTATTAAAACGATTATCTGAATTTTTAAACAATTACAAAGTTACATAAACTTCTATGACGTTTAATTTCAATAAAATTACTTCTCGATGCTTTACAGACGAGCAAAGAATCTGCATCTCATTCGCAACCGGTTCAATTTATTATTAAAACAATTATTTGAACTTTAAAACAATTATTTTCCTTATCAGGCTTTGCTAACGACTTCGGAGCAGCATAAAACTTGCAAGAAATTTCATTTCAATAATTGCTTCACGGTGTTTCACACTCAAGCAAAGAATATGCGCCCTTATTCACAACCGGTTTATACTTTTTCCTATGCACTTTCCTTCCATCCATCTCGTTTCTAAGTTGTTTAATCATCAAATAAATTAAACGAATCAGATCTCTCCTCTCTTTATGCCCCGTGGGTACTGTTTAAAACCAACATCCATTTCGTTCTCTCTCCTGGCGTTGAAAGATCGTCCGTGAACGAGAAAATAATACCGCGGCGTGGAGAACGTATTCAATAAGACCGCACGCGCAATATTTTCCCTCGGCCGTCGGTCCTGTATTCTTTCCCCCTTGGGGAGGGTGGAACACCCAGCGGTGGAACGAACAGGCCGCGTAATTCAAGTCTAATAAAACCGTGGGCTGCGTTCATCGCGTTACACAAGTGTACCTATGTATGTCGGCCGTGTTCTCGCCTGAAAGTTCCATTAAAGCCACGGCAAGTGAGCCCCCGCAGCCTCACATTCGACTCCTGTTAACGTTGATTCGAACGACGAAGGGCCACAGACAAACGATAGGCGGAAGCCAATCTACTCGACAGCCAGACTTTTTCAGCGTTCGATTATCGATTCCTTCGCGCGATTCTTATCGATAACTAGCCGTTTCCCGCGGCTAGGATATGAACCCTTTCTTTATATCACACTGTATAATAATTTCTTCAGGCTCCTCATGCCCAGCCACTTATCGATTTCGATCACGAGCATCCTGTGTCGACCGTGGCGGAAAAACCGCTTCAAGAAAAAGAGCGACAGTGCGATAAACGGGACGTCCAACCCTATTTGGAAAAATTAGTTTATGTACGTAACCCCGCGGGACATGACGGTTCTAATTTCAGGTAGCTAGAGTAGACAGGACCTTATCGTTCACGAGCGAAGAAAGACCGTCCAGGGGACACGATACGTGGGGGTCGTTAATTACATTCCCATTTAATTAAAAGACTCACCAGAGAGGTGATGAGGTAACTGTGATAGTCGCTCATCATCCCTATTTGCTGCGCCTGCTTCAACACGTCGTAAATCCTCTCGGTGGAGCAATCCAGCACGATGTGCGACTCCGCCGAGTTCTTTATCTGCTTCAGCAACGGCCTGGAACAGAAAGAGGCGAAGGTTCGTGTATATTCGTACGCGCGATAAAGCTTCTCCCTTGGGGAGGAAATAGGCGTTTACGTGCACCCGTTGAAGGTTCACGCACGATGTATCCGGTATTGCTTTTAATAAATACAGTGTTATTATATTGAAGACCGGTGAATTTTTTAATTAAGTTTACATTTGTAAGGGAGATAGGAAAACAGTGTTTTTACGAAATTAAAGTGATCATTCGGTATAATCTATGGAATGAATGCTCCGTTGCACGCGACGAATACGTTCTGTGCTCTCTTTTTCTGATAAAGATCATCTGAATCGAAATCTTTTATTCCACACCGGTGTGGTTTACCGATATAAATGTAATATCCTCAATTAAGTCAGACCTGGCAATCATCCTCCACCACTAGTCGGTCAATCCAGGACATCGATCGTTGCGCTGACAACGAAATCGAACAAAATCGTACAAAATCGGATCGACGCACCCTCTGCACTTCATGAAGAATTTATAACAAACCCCACTCACCGGCCGATAAACCGCCCGCGAGGCTCAACAATTCACCGGGCGTCGCTTGAATAATTTTCAACAATGTCCATAGACTCGACACATCGATCCTCCGTAAATGGTTCGAATTCACCGCCTATCGAAATCCGATTACCGGCGAACGCGTCGTTGCATCATGATGCGCAGCAAGGCTGGTATGCAAGACCGCCATCAGAGGTGATACGTGGGTGAAAATATATCAGAAAAAAATCAGTAAAAAATGATTCGGATCGATGGTCAGATTATGAATAAAACGTTCAGAGGTGACTTTTCGTCGGGCCTTTTCACACTCGTTCGTTCGCCAATTGCCCCCTCCCCCTGCCCCGCCCAGAGGGACGTGTAATTTCCAATTCCGGAGATACATTCTCTGGGCAGCGTGGTGGTGGTGTTTCTCTGATCAAAAATTCATATCGCGAGGCAACGGCGCACCGTCTCTGCTGTTGCTAGCTCGGCCTCGTCTTCCCCTCATCCAACATGCACGATAATGCGAATCTCCTTATGCGTCCGCTGGAAGTTGGACTGCCGCTCATTGCGAGAATTTTTCATACGGTATCGTGCATAATTCACCGGAAAGTCTCTTTTACGCGCGTCGTTCTGACGCATCCCACGGTCTTCTTAGGGTGCCTCGCGTTAGATCGTAGCAGCCCAACCTTCCCCAGCCCCTCCAACCCCTCGTTCTTCCTCCTGTTTCCGCGCTTTCGTCGAATTTCCGCGTGGAACAATGAAACGCGTACGTGCCGCCGCCAGAAACAACGAGGAGTTACATCGCCTAGGACCCACGGGCGCGAAGGGACGCATATAAAAGCGCCGCTTCCGCTTTTATCGCGTGGAAACTGTCCGTTGGAGAATTCTTCATGATTGGCCGGATTTATAGGGGTTGTATCGCGCGCGCGCGCGCAAGCAAGCCCCGGTAAGCTGGATTTATTATCACGGAATGGAGCCGCCGGGACAGCTCCCAGTGACTGAACCTGGTGCTTGGTCTTTTGTCGAATTTGAGAACTATTAGCACGGACGCTTGGATGTTTGAATTGAAGAGGAGGCGATAAATCTGGCGGAGGTCTCTTTTCCTCTCGGTGATGGTTTGGAACGAGGGCTTCTATAATGGCGTAATGGCTTGGCTGTTGTCGATGTCCTCGCATTAGGTGTCATTGTTGTGAGTCTATTATTGACTGGCGAGTCGATAATACAGTTATGACAATAGATCTTTTATGACCTACAATTTTGGGCCTTCTACGATCATCATCTTTGTATACAGGGTGATGGACGTAGAGGACCGAAAGCTTACAATTATCTTCCTTTCTGAACTATAAATGCGGAATGACGTCGAAAACTGTGTTTTTGAAGGCCTGTTTACAAACAATCCAAATCTAGACATAGAAATACGGCTTGTAGTCCCGATATTCGTGATATTAATTTTGTACATAATACCAATACTATAGACAGTGTTAGGTACAATAACTGCGGTTATACTGTGAATCTTGGCTTCTTCTTCATTTTTCATTTCCTACCTTTTTCTGTGTTTAACGTAGCTGTAATAAGTCCAATACAGACTTACTATTATCCTGTCAAACGTGCACCTGAATTAAATCCTCCTAAGAGGGTTAACACTTTAGCGCCCGATTCTTGATCTGTAAACTGATGCACCTATGTCTGGGACATAGGGCTCAAGAACGAAAGTAGGGAAACTTCTCCGTAATTGGTTACTAAATGCAGTAGCATATCGCGATGTCCGAGGATTCGTCCAAGCAACTAACGACATCTCTTCTCCCTGGATCGTCTACGACCTACGTGGTTCCTGCGCACCTACAAAAACCCCACGCCTTCAGTCCCTCGTCTATAACATTGTTCTACAACAATGGGCGCCAACGTGTTAAAGAGGTACAATCTGTACATCAATTCTAAAACGTACGAGCGTACTTTAACCCAGATCAACGACAGGACCGTCGCGAATACAGAACCCTAGAGCGCAACGTGAACCAGAGACAGTCTTCTCAATTTCCTTTTGCCCCTGTCACGGAATATCTCGAAGAGCTCTTGGCCAGAAGAGATTCGGCAATTACGCGAATTCCACGGGTTCGGGTACTTCGCCGGTATTGTCACGGGCGGGTCGAGTCTCTTATTTCGCGTGGCCGCCAGCAGAGCGGCGCGTCGGGGCGGTAGCCGTAGGAATTCCCTTTGATCCCTCTGCCACGAACAGTCCGCGATCGTCTGGCGTCACGGCGCCGCAGCGTGGCGTTTCTTTAAAAATGCAGATCCACTTTGTGACGCTCGGTTCCCCGTTTAAGCACGCCATCTGCACACGCCGATACAGTCCAGCCAGCACGGTCCTCCCGTTGCTTCTTTATTCAGAAGCGGTTTCGCGCCACTTCTGACGAATCCTCTAGCAGGTCTGGCGCAACGTTGCCGAACAGCTCCGTGGCTCTAGCAACTGTCACGAACGTGGCTGGGAACGATGTTTAGATAACCTTCTGGTTACGGGTGGGTACGAGACAATTCACGGGACCACTAGGTGATAGTCAGCCTGAGGCCTACACAATGTATCCACGGATCATCCCCGGTTTACGGGCACTCGTAAACCAACGCCTTCGTGACAGCCAGCCTGGATACCCCCAGGATAAACGAAAGGCCGAAGAAGACCCTCGTTCCCGGGCTGGAGAAGTTTTAAGGACTCGTCAGATACCGAGCTGGGGGTAATCGAACATCGCGCCTCGGTTCTGACAGCGGGGCTTACTTGACGCGATACCCCGGGAACAACGGGTGTAAAGTTTGGATTGGGAATGATAAGGGATCGATACAACCTTACCAGAGAACGAACCAGTTCCAGGATCGTCCGTTTTTCCTACGGGGGTCTGTTCTTTCTACGTGGATCCCTCCACTTCCCTTGGCCTCTTTACTGTTCCGCCTTAACTTAATACCATCATCGAAACTCTATTCTCAAAAGGCTCGAACGGTCCAGCGTAAGCCGAGCAACTCTCTTATTTCTTTTCCTTCTCTTCTTCCTTCGCCTCCCTCTTTCTCTCTCCACTGTGCCACTTTACTTGGCTCGTCACCGTTCTAGATGGCTTTCGAGATACCTCCAGAGATAGTCGCTCTCTTGGGAGGATAGGCTGCTGCGACCGAAAGATACTGGCTCCGCTTGAAGGATCGAAGATTTGCAACTAGCTGGATGAACTCTCGACGATGCTCGCGGTACAGACGAGATAAAAGATGGATGGAGCCTCGGGCAACGGGTTCCACATCGGTAATCAACGTGTTCGTTACAATGTGACTAATGAGATCCTCGGTTGTGTATTGAGATTGATGGTCGTTCGTGGGAAAATGATGTCGCTTTGCGGCCCTAGATTTATTATTGGATGATGGACTGTGGTATATCGATATGCTACGTGCCATTTAAGGGACATGGGATCTGACTTGTATAAAGTCTGATTTATGGAACTGGTTTGTTTTCGAATGTCTTGATTATTTCACTCGGTATCTTTCACACGTTTGATAGACGGAAGAAGTGTGGGAATGAAATTGTTTTGTTCTTGTCTAAATCAGGATGTTCGTTTAAGGAGTGTTGGAGATTGAAGAGGGATTCTGTAGTGAAATGTTTTAATACCAGAAACCCGAGACCACGGATTGTTAATAAAAGAGTATAATTATTGTCAGAATTGTTAAATTTACGATAGTAGTAAGAAAGTAACGGCCACATAAATTGATATCAAAGACAGTCTGCGGAGCGTAAGTATTAACGACTCCCGGATAGCGAGAATCGATACCGAGCACTTTTATGGTCGAGGGTTACGATCGAGAAGATTCCAGTGTTATACTGATACTCGTGGTTTCGAATCTGTAGACGCTATGTCTTGAATGTTCGATGGATTGTGAAATAATAAAAGTGATAAAGATCATCATTGAAAGTTCCTTGGCTCATAGGGAATCACGGTGTCGCGTACCTCTGTGTTTGTAACAATTGAATCTCAGGATGCTAGAGATGAGCTCTACCTGTTACAAACACGAAACTCTAAGGATCTTTCAATCTTCAGAGTAAATACAGATTTATTCTTCGAGTCGTGTACGAGCACCAATGATGACGCCTAAATCCCCAGAGTTAATAATGATGTCATCTTTGGAACATCGAGATACGACAGAGTACAAATGACTTCGATCATTTTAACAATCTATAGAATAATAAAAGAAAAAAGTCACTAGAGACATTTTTATTAATTACGCGGACGTAGAATCGACAATTACGGAATGTTAAATACAGGGTGGTACAATCGTACAGGAGGTCATTCTACGGTATACTAAATCTCTTATTTTTGCACGGTAGAATATCCTCCTGTCCAGTTTTACCACCCGTCCCGCCCCATTATTGTGTACAAGTATTACCATATTATTCTGAGGTTAAGAACCCACATACATAATCCTTCGTGTGTCAACATACCAACTACGATAACTTTACGAATATTAAAAG